CTGGGTGATTTGAGAAAATGCGACTAGCCAATCAGCGCAAAGCTGACAAGCTTATGTTGTAAACATAACCCCCCGACGGGAGGAATTTGCACAACAAAACTCGACCCAGTGGAGTAGGCTGCCTGCCATTTTATTCTATCCGAAAAATCAAAGCTAAAACGCAAAGACAAATTGAAAATCTTTATAAAATAGCTTTTATTAAATGTCAATCAAATATTTATCGTTATAGAAATAGAATTTTATCTTAAAAATGAAATAGCAAAGAATTTTTTCTTTAATACCAAGGGACTCCCCTCCCTGCTAAAAATAATTAGTCTGTGTTCTACGCGGGTTCTCCATTGCATGCGAAGCAATGGCCGACTTCACGAAGACTTCAGAAGGTCGTTGAAGCGACGTTCAAGTCCAAAGTATCTTATGGAGGAACCATTGCAAATCCTTTTTCTTAGCTCTTGTTTCCTCAAAGCTTTGAGGTATCTACAACATCACTGAAAGAGCTAGAGCAGCTTAGCTCCATGTATTCCAATAGAGTTAAAGCGTTTGTTATGTTTCATACAAACAACTGTCGTAGTTCATCCTTTGTCGCATTTTTGGCAATAACCCGCAAGCATGTTCGACGACACAACGAGTTGACGTTATGTAACAGGTCGGTTACACATTTACTAGCTTTGACCTTACAACGAGAGATAGAACGGTGACTGCGGTTTTTCGTGTAATGTCTTGATAGCGACTGTTTATGTCGAAACGACTCAAAACAAAATTCCATCGTGGAAAAAGTGTATTTAAGGTGGAAAATGTTTCATATGAGCATTCAATTCTTAAAGGTTAAATTCTATAATCATTTTGTTTAGTTATGTAAATAAATTTAGCACGACTTGTACTGTTTATCTGAGTGAAAGGAGAGCTGCGGGTTTTCCCTTTCCTTTAATTAGATTTTCAAATATGACCGCTTAACAAAAATACACGGGCTCACTGGCTTACAACCTTGGCGAATTCATATGCAGGCCTGGTCGCAAATCAATCACCCAGAGGTACCCGAAAAATATCTTAACGATCTTGACTTTGCTGACTATATTTGCCTACTTGAATCATCGACTGCAAGAGCTCAAATCCAACTTAACCATATACAGTAACTGCTGCAGTCTCAGTCGGTCTTATAATCAACATTGACAAAACTGAATTCATTCGAATGAACTTTCAAAAACTCATTAATTATTCATGAGGTATTCAGCCAATCCCTGATTGTAATTTGTATCACGTGAAGTAACTTGAAACCAGAGGAAGTATTCGTACCTTGTATTCTACCTTATTTCCAGTTACTTCTACCTTTTTTAAGTTACTTCTACATTATTTCCAGTTATTTCTACCCTATTTCCAGTTACTTCTACCATGTTTCCAACTACTACTAGCTAATGATAATCAAATTATTAGAAATAATCAGTTTAACATTAATTTAGTGAAAAAAGGTCTTTGATACATGACTCCCTCACGACTCGATTCCGTACCGTCCAGTCTATAATATGCGCCGTCTTATACCATTACACCACCGAGTTTCTGATGCGATTCCTCGGAAGATAACATACTTATAAATCTTATGGATTAGGCTCATTAGGAATGCCATGAATAGCAGACAAAGACAATTTGAATAACTTTTGTTTCAGAAAGCCGTCCGGGAATTGAAGAACAACAAACGGTGCTTCATGTATTCAAAATTATGAAAACTGAAAACCTTAGTGGAGCAATAAATCAATATAATATTTCTGTTATATGTATTTCCTTCGCTTTTTTTCCCTCCCGAATAATTAATGAGTTTTTGTCGTTCAAAGGCCTCCAATTCGGACTTGACGGGATTTCAAAGTCCTTGCAATTAGTTCCAGTCCTCGGCTAGCGCCTCGGACTGGAACTAATTGCGCGGACTTTGAAACCCCGTCAAGTCCTCATTGTCGGCCTTTAAACATTACATCCAGTTGAGCCAAATCTTCGTGTTGGCACGTCTATAATGAAGCAAGTCGAAAACTTCCGTTATCTCGGTCCGATGATCTCCGATTTGACCATCCGATGAAACCCCACTGAAAATCAACAAATAAGCGCCGAGACTCAAAACAAAATTTGTTTTGGAACTTGCGTGAAAGGCCACACACATGCATAAAGTTTGAAAGAAATCGATACTTTCCACCCGGAATGGTTATGAGGTTCTTACAGAGACAGCCTTTTAAGGCCTCATACAAATTCTATTGTGGTAGAATACACCAAGTATTCCACTGTAGTCTTCCTACCTACTCATCCAGGGCGGATCCATCTGGTTGGTGCTTGGGGTGCATGCGCACCCTCTCCTGAGATCTGTATCCTTTAATACTTTGTATCTTTATGGCAATGATTTTTGTGGGGTACA